TGGCCCATCTAGGAGCTTCTATGTGCTTCTATGTCTATAGACCGAGTAACAGGATCTGGTTGGTATGGTTATTGAAAAGGCTATAGGATGTAACACAAAGATGCAGAGAATGCAGAGCACACTGCAAACCATTTGAACACTAACGCCATTCTTTTGGCTACTTTCCATTCTTGGCCTAAGGACCATGTGGTGTTTTGAATGAGAATGGCCTCATAGGCTTGTATATGAGGAAGCTCAGTCATCAGGGAGTGACAATACTTTAGAAAGATTAGGAGATATGGCCTTTTTAGAAAAAGTGTGTCACTGGGGGTAGGCTTTGAAGTTTCAGAAGACCAAGCCAGTCCCAGAAACCCTCTCTTCTCCTGTCTGAGGACCCAGATGTAGAACTCCCAACTACTTCTCCAGCACCATGTCTGCCTATTTGCCACCATGATGATAACAGACTAAACCCTTGAAACTGTAAGCAAGCCCCAATTAAGCCCCTTCTTTTATAAGAGTTGCTGTGGTCATGGTGTCTCTTCACAGCTAGGACAGAAGTTGGTACTAGGGAAGTGGCCAGATTTGACCTGATAGGTATAGAATGTTGTTGACCCCTATTTTAGGATGCAAGATGCTCCTTTTAGTCTGGGCGACATCATTGCATTCCCCCCTGGGGACTTCCTTATGCTCATATGTGGTATATAAGGGCCGCTCACCACCAGTGTGGAACCATCACAGATCACCCTAGAATTGGTCAATGGTTATTTCAGGACATGGAGTGACAGCATGAGGCTTTCCTCCTATGGGTTCAATTTCACAGGAATCAACACAGTTTGTTCTTGGTGTTGCCTATGTGGATTGGCAGTTTCTCTCATTATTGGTTCTCAGGCCTGACCTGACAGCTTTATAACGTGCTTATCAGTATTTGATACTCCTTTTCTATACACCAAGCCTAATTCTTGTAGGACGTGCTTAAACCCTATAGACACAGAGTCTCCATGAGATACAGAAAAATTGGAGACATGTAGATGTCCACCTTGACAGCATTGCTTCTGTAACAGTTGAGGTTTCTGGCACTGGCGTTCCGAGGATGTGGTCAAAGCCAGAGGTTAACTCAGCTAACCAGGCTGGCTGTGTTCTGTGCCCTTGAGCTCTCTTCTTCCTCTTCTTATAGCACCTCCCTTGCCGTCCCTTCTCCTATTTTAAGTACTAGCTTGATTTGACTTACACACTTGCTTTGATTTCAGCCAACTTTTTTCTTGTCAATCAGTTTCTCTTAGTGTACAAAAAGGTACCAGCTCACTCTTGGCTCTCCCCTGTGCTTAAGTTCAGAAAACATCCCCAAGACTCTAGTGCTCTGATTATGTTCCAGCCAATTTCCATAGACTTTATATAAAAATACTTATAGGCATCTGCACATCAAAATGCAAGTAAACAAGCCTCTTGGATGCCAGCCTTTCACACTAGAATTATTCTGCATCCTTCTTCCTTCTTACCTCTTACCAGGGGGAGACAATACGATTTACCACTCCAGAATGCATTCTGAGTGAATGGAGGCTCAGACCTGAGAAGATGCATAAACTGGGGTTACCAATTCATGTGAGACTTGACCTTCAAATCTTTAAAGGAGACAGACTTTATACTTAGCTATCTAAAATAATACTGCATTCTAAAGTCCCTATGGTGTGAAGACCCAGATAACAGCACTTAAAACTCAAAGGTGTGTGTATCTGTGTTGATGAATGAGCCAGAACTGGTGAAAAGCTAGTAGAAAAGGCTTATAAAAACATTTTATTTTTACTTATGTGTATGTGTGTGCTAGTATGCTCATGAATATGCACTGTCCAATTAGGGCAGAAGAGGGCGTTGGATACTGGGCGTTGGGAGCTGAAGTGACATGCTGTGGGTCACCTACTGTGGGTGCTGGGAACCAAACTCTGGTCCTCTGTAAGAGCCAGAAGTGCTCTTAACCACTGGACCATTTCTCTAGCCCCAATGACCTTTAAAAAATGTAAGGTATTATAGTATGATTATGAAGTGTCTTCCGTGGATTCATTAGTTTAAATGAATTTAATTAATTAATTATGTAATTCCAAAATGGTGACAGTGTTATGGAAGGTGTGGGAATGTTTGGGAGGTGGAGCCTCACTAGCAGAAGTAGGTCACCGGGAAGACAGCCTTGCTGTTTTATAGCTTATCCTCACGTCAGCCTGCATGCTGTTTCCTGACAGGAAAGGCAATATGACAAGCTTCCTGCTCCCAAGTCTTCCCACCACAAAGGGCTGTAATCCCACTAAACTGTGAGCCAAAATGAACCCCTACCTTCCTCAAGCTGCCTTTTTACATATATTTAGCAGCAAGGGTGACCAGCAGTGTCCATGGTTATAAAGTCTCTTTTGAGTTCATACATTCCTATTCTCTACAAGTAAGGGCCTTTTGCCCTGCCTTCCTGTTCTAGCCTTTTCTCAGCAAGCTGCTCTCTGTACTCAGTTCTCAGTACACCCACCTCAGACCATGGACAAAGATAGAGCAGGGATCCTGCTCATGCCAGTATTGTTATGGGAGGCATACTTCCCACACATCTGGTGTGTTGTAGGAAGGACTGGGAAATGAAGAGATGAGTCAAGAGTGTTGCAGCTGTCCCTTTTCTCTAAAGAAGGCACAACCTCCTAGAGCAGAGCTTGGGGATAAAGGATGGAGAAACCAGGCATAGCCCTGTGCTCTTCCGCCTCCATCCACCAGGCATGCTCCGTGTCTAGTGCTTTGCGCTAGCTGTATCTTCACCTGCGATGTTTGTTCTAGGGAGATCCCCATGGAATGCTTTCCCCTTTTCAAATCTCCGTGCAAATGTCATCTGTGTAGCAAGCCCTTTCCTGACCACCATTTAAAATAGCATCTACTTTCTCTTGTACTCCCGCTGACATGCTCCTGACTCTCCATCATTTTAATCTTTAGTCACCATACTCACTTACCGAAGGTGCAATCTTTTCCTACGGTGTTAACTGCATGATGCAAGCATATGTCTGCCTTAATATTGCTACCCACAGTGGTGTTGGGTACATTGCATCCGGGACTAATACTAATACTCATTCATGGAAGGACTGAACTTCCCTCCTTTCTCTTGTTACAACAGATATCTTCTTATCTAAAGCTAGTGTTTCCACCTATGTTCTGAGTCTGCCTTGAGGCTCATCTATCCACTGTGCCTTCCCTTGTTCATGAAGTCAACAATTCCCACCAGCTGCATAATTTTGATATGTATCATAGAGGTTGTGTAAGTCAGGCCCTGCTCCGCAAATCTTACCTTACTTCACTGTCACCTCACTATAGCCCAGTGAGGGAGGAATGCATGTTCATTTCTACACAAGAAAAAAAAATTAAGGTACAGAGAAAGTAAAAATGTGATCAGAGCTACCTAGTAAGTGAGGACCTCAGGATTTGATCCCAGAAACCTAGTCAAAGAGCCCAGCTCTGAATTACTTTTATGTTTCAGGCTCATACTCACCCATTATTATATAGATACATATTCATTAAATTTTGCTTTAATCTCAAAAAAAGCCCTCAACTCCATACTCCTCTCAGCCAATTCTATATTTCTTTCCATCACTTTGCAACTGCCCAGGTGTGATATCACCCTTAATCAAGAATTGACATGCCATTCTGATGGAAGTATTTCACTTGAGATTCTCTTTCCCAGATGACTGTAGCTTGGGTCAAGTTGACAAAAACTGACCAGCGTGTCATCTTATTCTTCCCTAGAAGATACATGAAAAAAATGTCACCCATGGGCACACCTCGGAGGAAGCTTGATATCAGGAAGAGACATGGAACATGATTCTAAATGAAGAGGTCACAGGGCATCTTCAGTGGTCCTCTGGCTAAGAGATTTTAAAACAGCATTATTTAAAGAAACAACTCTTCTTTTAATACTTTCAATAGTCTATCCACAATGGTATAAATTCCCTCCTTGATGCTTTTTGGTGCCCAGGTAGACAGTGTCCAAATTCTTTTTTTTTTTTAATTTTTTTTTAATTTTTTTCTTTTTAGTTACATTTTGTTAACTCTGTGTCCCAGCTGTATCCCGCTCCCTCATTCCCTCCCCAACCCCACACTCCCTCCCTGGTCTCCTCCCTGCCCCTTTCCAAGTCCACTGATAGGGGAGGACCTCCTCCCCTTTCATCTGAGTGTCCAAATTCTTAAAATCTCAAGTTTTCTTTATAGTCACACCCAACCAGATTTTGATTAAAATTACTTTTTATCATTTTTTTTCAACAAAATTTAGATTCACAACATTTCCAAATAAAAAGTATTGTTAAAAGTGTGTTTGTGTATGCATGTTTTCCCCTTCAGACTAATTGGTTTCCTCCCCATTACCAAAGGTTACAACCTAAGAGCTATGTCATCATTATCCCAGGTGACAGTTCTTGTCCCGCTTGGTCATGTAGACAAAATGCGCCAAAATTCTGTCTGCAAGGATAGGAAGATTCCCAGAGCTGTTAAAAATAGCATGGTCTAATGTGCAGAGTCTTAACATATGGCAGGCACTGTATCAGAAATGTGTTACTTTCTTGTTTCTTACTGTTTTAGAGATAGGATGTCCAAGGCTCAAAACGTCTTCAGGATTTGCCCAGGATCAGCCAGTGAATGATTACAGAATGTGGGTTTTCAGGATGTCGCCCACATGAGGCCAGATATCATGTATCTGTGAGAAGATGCCTTGTACCTTTTTATCAGCTGAAGGTAAAAACTGTGCAGTCCTAAGTGGGCTCGAGAATCCAGAGGAAGCAAATGTTATTCCATAAACAATGGTGGGATAGCTGAGCAGATAATTCAGGAAAATATTCAAGTTAGGCTTCCTACTTGCACCACACTGATCAAACAAAATATGGCCCAGCCATCGGAATCTATGCTTAGATATGGTTTGCTACAAAAATGTACTCACCTAGTTGTTTTGTATTCATTATTGACAGTCCTTTGGCCTCAGACACTGCCTTAACCTTGGCTGTCATTCCCCTCTCTTTTATTGTAGAAGAAATGTACTACTGCAGAACCCTACCCGGAGAGTTGGCAGCCCTGAGACTTATTTCATTCATGTTGTAGAATGTGGATAAATCCATGCGCTTTAAAGAGGAGCAGAGCGCCTGTCCGACGTGCTACACTTTGCTCTTGAACCTGCCTGGCGGCAACTTGAAAGGCCTCCATGTTCAACCAGGCTTTCTTCTCTCTCTTTTGTTCTCTTCTTGATGGACTTGCATTCAGGCACAGCAGCATCCCTATTAACGGCAGCTTCTGCCTTTTCATGATAGAATTTCTAGAGGACACCTGAGTTAGGCAAGACTTTGAGGGTACTTTTTTTTTTTTCTGAGTGTTTGATAAATCTCCTTCTGACCCTGCCTGGTCCTAGGCAATGGCTATCTCCTTCCCTCCCCCTCAGCAGTGATGCTGGTCATCATCCAGGAAGCCTCATGTTAGATGGAAAGAGGACAGTGGGACTCTTACTGGATAGGGGCCTGGAGCTCTAGCTCCCCATGGGTTCCTGCTCTTACAGTTTTGAATCTTTCTTGGTGTCCTCATTGTAAGTTAGGTCTTGTAGGGTTCAAATAGCAGTCCTTCTGAATGTTTTGTTGCAGTGTTATCAAAGGTGATGGCCACTGTCCTTCAGAAAAGAATAAGCCAGCTAGTGCTTGCTGAGCCTAAGCAGTCTCTTGGTTCAGATGTTTTTCTACAGTGCAATCCATTAGGGTACCATCAGAAGCCAAGGAAAAGAGAGAGTTGGCTGTAGCAGGACATGCCTTCTGTTACTCCATAGCCTTCTCTGATGTGGCAGTGAGGTCTATCCAGAGGGGAGAGCTGCAGGGAATTATTTTTTGTGCATTTTCTTTTCTTCACATGAGAGACACATCTGAATGTCCTGTGCCCATGGTACACAGAGCTAGGCAGAACAGAACCCTTTTGTAGAGAGGACTGGTCTTCTTGAGCAGGTGTAGATACATGTGGGCTAAAGCCACTGTGTGATGGTGTTGTCAGCTTGGCAGAATTTAGAATGACCCGGGTGAAGGGCCTTTGGTTGTACCTATGGGGGACTATCCTGAATAATGGAAGTGGGAAGACCTGCCCGTGGTGGGTGGTGTCATCCCCTGACTGGATTATAAAGTGTATAAATGTAGAAAAGGGACTGAGCAGAAGCTTGTGTTCATTGGTCTTCCCTTGAATACAGAGGTAGGGTGATCAGCTGTCTGAAACTCCTGCTGCCTTGCTTTTCCAGTTGTGGTGGACTATACTCTTAACTGTGAGCACTCTCAACTGTGAGCCAGAACAAACTTCTCCCTGGAGTTGCTTTTGTCAAGAGAATTTAACCGTAGCAATGGGGAAAAGAAATGAAGACACCAAGTTCTTATTCTGAAGCAGCCCAGGGACCAGTCTCCTGCCTTCATCTTGTGGCACTGCTTTCCCTGGATTTTCCTTGAAACGTCTGTGCTCTTGTTTGCTTCCAGACCTGCCTGGATACTAAGGTTGCTCAGAGCTCAGCCCGAGCATGGCCCATGTTCTAATCCCCAGTTTCCTTTGTCTACCCCTAAGTTGCCTGGTTTGCCCTACACACTTCACTCCTACTCTGAGACTCATTGGACATCATGGCTGCTTCCACCCATGCCTTACATCTAACTCGGAGCTCTCACCTAGATCTTTCCCGCAGGGAAGAACAGCCCTGCCTAGTTTACTCAAAATCAGGACAGGGTCTACAATTCCTCCATCTCTCCCATGCTGCTTCCCCTTCCAAGTTCCGTCACCTTTGGATTTCAGTTCACTCTCCAAATGGTAAAGATAGCTGGTGCCCCCATCATTGTGATATCACATCCTCACCCCCCAGGTGCACAGTCTGCCAGGCCTTCTTCCCATGAGGACATGACTCCACACTGCAGAGCTCTGCAACTTCTCTTCCTCCTGTAAACTCTTCAGGGTTCCTTCATGGGCACCCCTGGCTTTCAACATCAGGTTCAGATTTCTTAGCACAAGAGCCTTTCTGAACTGGCCTTCTGCCCTGGTCTTCTACTGTCCATGGCTGCTAAATCAGCCAGGCAATGTAAGCGTGAACTGGAATGTTTGAGTTGGATCACATGGTTGTATCTTTGATTATCAAGTTTTCTCCCAGGAATGCCTTGCTCTGTCTTTGTGAATGTGTGTGTGTGCTGAATTTAACATTTATAAACGGCCAGCCTCAGGTCAGAACTGGTCTAAATATGCATTTGGGGGCTTATATCATGTTGAACTCTTTTTGAGATAGGGTCTCTATGGCACAGGTTCGTTTTAAACTCTCTGTGTAGCAGAGGATGACTTTGAATTCTCAACCCTCCTGCCTCTACTTGAGGGCTTGAATTAGAGCTGTGTGCCATCACACCTGGTTTTATGAGATGATGGAGATGAACTTTAAAACAGAACATACTATTCAGAAAATTGTCTGGCTTCTTTGAACATTCCAGGAATCTGGCCATGTTGAAGCACAGTAATTGCAGCAGTGGTAGCTTCTGGTTTGCAGGTCTGTGCTGTGTTTTCCCACAGTCCACACCAACCCTGACTGACAGCAAGCTACTTCATTTATGGGTGTGACCTGCATGGATGCTGAGGCATCTGACTTTGTGATCTCTAGGCTTACTTCTGTTAAGGAACAATATTCAGCTTATGCCATCTTCTCCACAAACTTCTCTCCTTTGAGGCACAAGAAGTCCACAGGACCTTGGGGTGTAGTGAGAACTAGTTCCTTGTTCTTTTTCAGTGATGGTTGACAAGATACTTTCTGATAAAGTCAAACCCTAAGAGGGTGCTTAGCCTCAGGGGCTTCTGGGATATTACCATCCATCTACCTCTCCCACCAATGTTCTTCAGGGTTCCCAAGGCTCTGGGAGGCACTGGGCTTGAAGAAGACTTCTGCCCTATGGTCCTCCTGACTGTTTTCCAATTGCCTTGTGGAAAGCTCACAGGCATGCTTGGTGTAGAAAGCAGGAACTCTAGCCTTGTTGCTTTAAAGATCAGAAAGTGGCTTTACTCAAAAAAATGTCACTGCAGCTTAGAACAGATCGGGTGGGGTAGGAATAGCACAGAGAGGAGAGAAAACTTCAATACTAAGACCGGGTCTATGCTAGTAGCATAAACGTAAGTGAGGACTTGTGGAAGACTTTGCTTTGATGGCCGGTTAAGTAGAGCAAAAGACGTCACAGAGCTTCTATAGCCCAAGCCATTGCCATGGGTGGGGTTTCTTACAGCTAAGTTTGACATTTCATTGTTCCCATTTCCCTGAGAGAAGCCGAGCATCATATTTATCCTCACTGTTAATTTGATACATCCTAGAGTGCCCTGAGAGAGTGTCAATTGAGGGACTGCCCAGATTAGACTGGCCTATGACCATGTTTCTTTGAGACTATCTTTAAGGATGACCAATGTGGGAGGGGCCAGCCCACTGAGGGCAGCACCAACCCTAGCAGGTGGGCCCTGGTTATATGAGAAAGCTAGCTGAGTATGAGCCTATCACCAAGCCAATGGTTGAGTCAGGATGCAACATTACTCCATGATTTCTACTTTAAGTTCCTGATTAGAGTCCCTATTCTGACTTCCTTCAGTGATTGACCACACCCTGGAAGTATAAGCTAAACATACCCTTTCCTTCTGAAGTTACTTCTGGTAAGAGTGTTTAATCACAGCAAAAGAAAAGCAAAGTCAAACAGTGACTGACAGCCAAGGAGTGAGTGGGAGGGAGGGTTTGGACTGGGCTGTCTAACACTCTCTAAATGGCCAGAACCTGAAATAAGTCAAAGCTGAGACTCAGTATAAGGGGAGCACACTGAAAAGATATCGGAAGGTGAGATTAGGCAGCCATTGTTCTTGGTCACAGTACCTTACTCCAGACAGATGCCAAGGCTCATTAACTAGAGCAAGAGAAGGAGTGAAAAGCCTTATCAGGAAGGAGGCAGCGTGCACTGGCACAGAGCTAGCCTTCCCACTTGACTCCTGTGCCTCCTACTTGGAGTTTTGGCCCTTTGCTTTGGATGCTTTCAGCAGCTTCAGAAGGGAAGCTCAGGCTGGAAGGCTGTTCTTTGTTTTAAACAGCAATGGTGGGAGCTACCGAGATGTGATCAACAGCTACACACACACACACACACACACACACACACACACACACACACTTTCCTTGTTACCCTGAGCATCAGTCAGCTCAGACCCCATGGTGGGTTGGGGCAGGAAAAGGCACAGACACTGGACAGGGACCTGTTAGGCCCGAGGGCTTCAGTTAATGATTCTGGACAGTGTCCTGGGGACAATGACTCAAGGTGTTGAACATTTAAGATCGAGGGGCTGCCTCAGAGCTTTCTTCTCATCTCTCCTGTCATCAATTACTATAGAAAATTTCAGAAAACCAAGATGGTGGGGAACCTACCAGTCTTTGGGGCTTAGTATCATTCAGAGGCAAAGAGGACTCTTGTCCCACAAACTTCACTTGGCCACAACACACTGCAGTTGGGTGGGGTTTTGGCCCTATCTTCCTGGACAGCTTGTGTGCTCTTCTGAGACATCTTGGCATAAGAGGGGTTGCACACAAGCATACTGGGACCAAGCAGTGCTCTTAACAGGTGAGGGGAAGAGGGAACAGAAATTCCTACCACTTGGCTGGGGGATGGAAAAGGTTGGACCCTGCCTGTTTTCTCAACAAAAGTGCCTTTGATATTATAATATGAAAGTGACAGTCTACAAAAAAAACAAAAACAAAAAAAAAAAAAAACCTTACAAATCCCCAAGTCAACAACCTACTGACTATCTAACCAACCAACCAACCAACCAACCAACCAACCAACCAACCAACCAACCACTTCACAAGTTTGGCGTGATTCCTGGTGCCACCTTTGGTACAGAATTCAAAGCCACATTTTTTTTTTTTTAATTCCTTGAAACAGATACCAGCTCACGGCACGGATCTTATACTTTTGTTTTTGTTATTACTATTATTGTTCTTACTAAAACTCTTCTGAGGTTTTAGCCAAGTTTCTCTGTTTTAATTTCTTGTTGTTCAACTAGCATGGATTTGCTGAGTACCTGTGTGACAGGCACTGGGGTAGGCTCTCTGGTTACAGTGAGCATGCAGGTAAAGAGTGTCCTGTTCCAAGGTACT